TTATTTGGTAAACAGATGCGCACCCCTCCCTGCCTTTTCTTTCCCAGAGCTCTTCACAGCCATGCAGGTTCCTCTTTCAGGACTAATGTCAGGCTCTGGCTCTGCCTTACTGCTGTCCTCTGGGGGTCTCTAAGCTGTTGGGTTGGGTAGCATGGTCAGGAACTCCAGGCTCCACAGTCTACCCCAGCTCATGGAATCAGAACGTTGTTTAGTCCGCCCCTGTGTCGGCACTACCTCTCTGGTAACATGGTGCATGTCCCCTCACAGGGAGGAGTATGGGAAACTGTTTGATTTTGTCAACGCGAAAAAACTCAACATCAAAAACCGAGGATTGAAAGAGGTACTTCTGTGTGGGGAGCATGAGACCCTCTCCTGGTCTTTCTGTAGGGGAGAAAGGGGTGGAGATTTTTTCCGGCTTCTTTTTCACTCTTTCTTCTCTTCTTACCCTTATAGAAAAAAGAGGTGCGTGTGACCCTTTCCCCCTCCTGGTGCAGGTTTCCTCTGCATGACCTTAGACCAGTCTATGCAGCCCCTCAGGAGCCCCCAGTGGGGCTGGGAGAGGGAGGGGCTTGGGGCTTGGACTAACCCAGTTGGCAGGAAGTACTTGGGCGTAGGCCCTGCACGTTGGCTGTGTGTGGACAATCCAGCCCCAGGTCCTCTGGGAGCTGCTGCTCTGACTTGACAGGCATGGGGGTGTGCTTTTGAGTGTGCAGGGATTCTGGCTCGAGGGTGAGTTGGCCCCACTGTGAACTCTTCCCTGGCTAGGGCATGAACCCAAGCTACGACGAATATGCCGACTCTGATGAGGACCAGCATGATGCCTACTTGGAGAGGATGAAGGAGGAAGGCAAGATCCGGGAGGAGAATGCCAATGACAGCAGCGATGACTCGGGAGAAGAAACCGGTGGGTTAGCCTCCGTGCTGAGCACGAGGATGGTCAGATGTTCCTTGCTGTGGCCCGGGCTGGACTCACCCTTAGGCCAGAGCTGGGTGCCTGGGTGAGGGGGTGGGGATTTCCATTGGGGCAGAAGCTGATGCGTCCTGTGCCCTTTTTCAGATGAGTCATTCAACCCAGGTGAAGAGGAGGAAGATGTGGCAGAGGAGTGAGTTTTGGTGGTACCTTGTGGGGATAAGATGGTGACCCATAAACTTAAAGGACCAGAAGATTTCTGGACATTTCTCATGTCCCAGCATTAGCTACTGACCCGGAATGGGAGAGTGACCTCCAATGAGGTGATACACAAAATGTTTTGGAAATTGTCAAGGGCTTCGTAAGTGCAAGGCACATTTTGAAGTCAGAAAAGTATAGTGGGGTCTATGGCCATACCACCCTGAATATGCCAGTTGGGGCTGGTTCGTAGTTGGATGAGGAGAGAATGGGAATGAGAGCTGGTGCTTGTCACTTATTTCCTGGAGGTTGTCGATTAAGTCATTGAATCTCAATTTCCTCATCGGTAGAAATGCAGTAGTACCGACTTTTTATTAGCAGTGTCAGAAATGTGACTCACTCTCACTTTAAAAGGAAATATATAAAAGGGAATTTCATAAGTTCATGTTACTGCAGAGTCTGGGGATTTAATTGACTTCAGACACTACTGGATTCAGGCACTCAAATCTATTTCTTCTGATTTCCGTAATTCAAAATAGGTTTGCCCCATGGAGTGCCCAGTGACTCTCAGAAGCTCAGGGCAGGCTTAATCCTACTGGTTTAAAATAACACCAGAAGCGCCTCTTTTGGTGAACAGCATAGTGAACACAGTGGTTACCTGCCCCTTCCTAGCCTGAGTTGTTAGGATGGGCCAGGGTCTGATGGGCCAGAAATAGGCCAAGTGCCCACCCTTAGAGCCTGTGGTTGGGGTGAGCCCTTCCTGAGTGGGGGCAAGGTGGTTCCCAACAGAAAATTGGGACTCTGCTCTCTTAATCCAGAAGGATTGTAAAAGAATGTTAGGCAGCAAAAAAACAACCAACAGGAGTCCCCTAGTTCAGCCTGCCACACGTTTATGAAGGTGTATGAAAGCTTAATGAGCAAATACTTGTGAAAGTGCCTTGAAAACTGTCCGGCAGCATACAGGTCTAAGGTAGTTCCATTTTTTGAGGAGTTTCACATATATCAGATAAGACTGTCAATTACAGGGGTGGGTACTGGGTTGGATTTAAGTTGGTTTTCTTCTTTTTGTAGTAACTGATTATCTTTTCATCAGAAAAGACTGTAGGGGCCGATCCTTTTGTAGTTCATAAACATGATGGTTGGGTGTTACGTGCGTGTGTGCAATGTGCCGCCCTCCAGCCTTGTTATGATGTTGACACGTTACCCATCTGACATGAAAAAAAAAAAAGACAATAAAGACTATAGGGTAGATTAAGGTGATTACTCCGAAGGAATTGGTGAAGTGGATTTGGGCCATGTTCCAGGCATGAATGAGGCAGTGTTTCTGCCCGTGGTGTCCTGGGAATGGACTAGGACCTGGTTTGGCCATGTCCGGGGAGATCAGCTGAAGCTCATTGATTGATTTTCATTCATTAATTCTGATCAAGTAACCCATTGCTGTGGCTGGGTCTGGAGAGGGCATGGGTGAAGCCACCTCAGTGAATGGGAGGAAGCAGTGTTGGGGATTGGTGGTGGATCCTGTCCTCTGGTCTTCCTCCCTTGACCCTTTTGGGTGGGTATCTTTGGATTTGTTTTCCTCCTGCCTTGAGGCCATGAGGTCCTGTCTTCCCTCCTCAAGTCTAAGCCTGGCTTGCTCTCTGGCAGGTTTGACAGCAATGCCTCTGCCAGCTCCTCCAGTAATGAGGGTGACAGTGACCGGGATGAGAAGAAGCGGAAACAGCTCAAAAAGGCCAAGATGGCCAAGGACCGCAAGAGCCGCAAGAAGCCTGTGGAGGTGCAGACTAGATGGGAGGGGCTGTGTGTGTTGCAGTGGGCGGGGGTGGGGGAGGGTGGGAGGCATTCTCTTTACCTTCTCCTGTCCACCACCAGTAGGACCTGTTCATTGGTCTTCCTTGGGGCTGTTTTTTGTAGCCAATGATTATAGCCTTGAGGGGTATCTTCTTGGAAATTGTTCTCACTAGCCCTGAGATTAATAAGCTTCTGGAAGGTCTGAATTAGGAGATGGGCTTCTGTCCTGGTAAGCTAGGCACTGAATTGCAGAGGGGAAGGAGATACTATCCTTGCCCTTAGGGAACGCGCGTCTCGCCTGATGCTATTTAGTCCTCTACTTTTTCTCCAAGTTAAGTGATCTAAATAATTTATTTGGGAAAATGTATGGGTTCTATGGGAAATAGCTGAAGGCGTTTGGGTTCTTATGCAGGTGAAGAAGGGCAAAGACCCCAATGCCCCCAAGAGGCCCATGTCTGCGTACATGCTGTGGCTCAATGCCAGCCGAGAGAAGATCAAGTCAGACCATCCTGGCATCAGCATCACAGATCTTTCCAAGAAGGCAGGCGAGATCTGGAAGGGAATGTCCAAAGAGAAGAAAGAGGTGAGTAGCTGCAGAGGAGGGGTGATGCCTCTCATGGGCTGGCGAGAGGTGCTCTCTTGGCATGGTGAGTCCGATGACTGATAGGGGAGCAGTATGAGCCATTGGTGGGACTTTCTGTATCGATTTTGCCTGCATCAGGGGAGAGGGGGGAAACGGGAGAGGTCTTATTCTTCACTGTTTTTTTCTGTGTGTGTGAGACAGGAGTGGGATCGCAAGGCTGAGGATGCCAGGAGGGAATATGAAAAAGCCATGAAAGAATATGAAGGGGGCCGAGGCGAGTCTTCTAAGAGGTGAGTGTCGAGAACGTGGCCCAGTCACTGATTTTTGTGGCAGGTTTTTTTTGTTTGTTTTTTTGTTTTTTATACAGGCCGAAGTTGAGCATTGGAAAGTTAAAGACAGCAGATATGCTTCTGACTGCAGTAGGGTAGTGCTTCTCAAACCTGGGTAGGCCGTTGCCCAAGTATGGGTGATACGATAGGGCATTCAGGTCACTGGGGAAATATGACCCATTTTCGTGGACTATTTTATTTGAAGGTATGGGGGAACGAAAAAACTATTATGGAGTGCAGTGCACAATTCACATGAACTCTAAAAGATACAGCAAGAAATGTCAAGTAGGTTTTGCATATGGGGCTGCTTTAGCCTATGCCCTCTGATTCTTCTGGTGTACTCATGATACTCTCCCTTGGTGCCCTTCAGGCTGACATGGCTATTTACGTTCAGAGTGAAATGGGCTGTGTGGCTGAGATTGAGAAAGGCCTTGTTAAAGCTGGGAGAGGTTTGGTCATGGTGATAGGGGACCTGAAGGCCTAGCTCCTCTTCCCTCTTGCCAATACAGGGACAAGTCAAAGAAGAAGAAGAAAGTAAAGGTAAAGATGGAAAAGAAATCCACGCCCTCTAGGGGCTCATCATCCAAGTCATCCTCAAGGCAGCTAAGCGAGAGCTTCAAGAGCAAAGAGTTTGTGTCTAGTGATGAGAGCTCTTCCGGAGAGAACAAGAGCAAAAAGAAGAGGAGGAGGAGCGAGGTGCGGCAGGAATGTGGGGGCTGTGGGCTGGGCAGCGTGAGGGGCATGTGTGTCTGTGTGGGGTTGGTCTGTAAGAGTAATGAGTTGGAGTGGATGGTGGAATTCTGAGGTTCTGAAGGTGGGTGCTGTAGTTGGGAGGCGGTAGGAAATTGCGGGCCCTTCACTGAAGACTGGGTGGGGCACCCAGGACTCCACCTTTTCCCTGAAGACAGCTTTGGTTTTCAGGACTCTGAAGAAGAAGAACTAGCCAGTACTCCCCCCAGCTCAGAAGACTCAGCGTCAGGATCCGATGAGTAGAAATGGAGGAAGGTTCTCTTTGCGCTTGCCTTCTCACACCCCCAGACTCCCCACATTTTGGTACCAGTTTCTCCTCATGAAATATAGTCCCTGGATTCTGTGCCATCTGAACATGCTCTCCTGCTGGTGTGTATGTCACTAGGGCCGTGGGGAGACTTCTTAACTCTGTTGCTTCCCAAGGATGGCTGTTTATAATTTGGGGAGAGAGAGGGTGGGAGGCAGGGCAATGCAGGATCAAAATCCTCATCTTACTTTCCCGACCTTAATTAAGGATGTAGCTGCTGCTGGTCCTGTTCAAGTTGCTGGAGCAGGGGTCATGTGAGGCCAGGCCTGTAGCTCCTACCTGGGGCCTATTTCTACTTTTATTTTGTATTTCTGGTCTGTGAAAATGATTTAATAAAGGGAACTGACTTTGGAAACCATGTCTTTATGCTTTCTTTGTAGCCCTGGTTTGTTGCTCCTACTTTTACTGGTGGTGGTTACTGCCCTGGTCAGACTAGGCAGAGCCTGGCCAGCCGGGAAGCAAGTCTCGAGGCACATCCTGTTCTGTTCCCGGCTGGAGAAGCATTGGTTTTCACCCGCCTCTGCCCGGATGGGCCACCTGAGAATCTAGAAATGAGAGCTGATGTGATTAGGAAGTCTCTCCCGGTTACACTCCATTAGCCAACCAAGCTAGGGGGAGGCAGCTCTTGGCCCCATCCTTACCTATGAGTCAAGGGTCTTCCAAGGCTTTAGATAATGAAATCAGGATTGACTGTCCTTCCCGCAGCCGGGGGAGTGGAAACGTGAGCCTGGAGAGTCGGGGAGGATGAGCGTGTGTGTAGGGTGGTGGTGGTTGCAGCCTGGTGGGGGGTGCAAGAAAAGTACGGAGTATATGTGCAGCTTTTGTTCTTACGGGAAGAAGGGGGGATACAAACTTCAGTGTAGGGAGGAACCCACGTCTGAGACGGGGCCTGAAAGGAGATAAAGGTCACTACTGAGGAAAGCAGAGCTGCCAGACTTCCTCACCGTGGCTCTAAATCTGAATTGACACAGGAGGGGTGGCCACGTTGCGCGCGTTCTCAGCACTCAGGTGGCTGTACCAGGAAGCCGCTCCAGTCCGCCGGCTGCTACCTTCTTGCCGGCGTAGCTCGATGGTACTGCACTCCGTGCAGGCGGCGGGGCCCGGGAGGGGCCGCCAAGGCAGTCTCTCTAGGCAGTCGTCTCGGTGTCCATTTTACCCGAGCGCCCCCGGCTGAATTGCGTCAGTTTCGCCCCGGTCTGAGCCTGGGGCGGGCCCCTCATCTGCAAGCCTCATGAATAATTGAGTACTGGGCCGCGCCTGTTTGCCGACGGTGGGACGAATTCTGCACGGGCTTCCAACTCCCGGGTTCCACCGGCTCATGCATATTCATGAAGCGCCCTGGGGGCGTGGGCCTGGGCGGAGCTAGGGGCGGGGCCCCGCCGGGGCTCACAGTGGCTTCGTCCCGCGGTGACGGCGGCGGCGGCGGTAGCAGCGGCGGCGGCGGCGGCGGGGACTGGCGTCGGGGCGCCGAGCCGAGCGGAGCCGGATCCCGGGCGAGCGCGTGAGTGCGCGGGGGCGGGCGGGCGAAGGAGGGGGCGGGGTCCGGGATGGGGCGGGGGAGGGGCATGGAAGGAGTGGGCGCTTTCCAGCCGAGACCTCGGGTTGAGGTGGTGGTGGTGAGGGGGTCACCAGGAAAGTTTGCAGGGGCCGGGGGCGCTGGGGACGCTGGAGGCCCGGGGGAAGCTGGCGCGTGTGCGCGGGGGCGGAGGGCGCATGGTCTGGAGCTCGTGCTGGCGGAGCCAGAAGAAAGGGGGGAGGGGGCGAGGGCTTGGGGCGGGGCCGGGGGCGGGCAGAGCCGCTGGAGGGACCCCTGCCTCCCCTTCCCCTGGGCCGCGCTAGCCCCCTCCCCCGGCTCCTTCGGCACGCCCCCAGCCACCCCAGTCCGCCCCCACCTGATCGACGTCTGCAGCCCACCGTCTGTTCGCCGGCTGCTTCACAGCCCGCTCACAGGTCCTCCGCTTCTGCCGCCACCGCCGTCCCCTCCTCCTCCTCCATCCTCTTCTCCTCCTCCTCTTCGGCTGCCGCTGTCCCTTCTGTGTCCAGAGCTCCCCACTGGGCCCCTCCAGACAGCCCATTGCCCGGGGCTGTTCCATCTTCCCGTTGGCCCTCCCTCTTTCCACCAGTTTGCGTGCTGTCCCTGCCGACCTCTCTAGCCTTCGATCCGGCTGGAGATCTTGCGGTCCATAGGGGCGACCCCGCCTGCGCCGAGTCCCCTCCGGGGCTGGAGCTGCCCAGCCCTTCTGGAGGCCTTATCTGCCAGGGGTCAGTTCGTCTCTACCCCGCTACCCTCTACCTCCTGGTCTTTTGGGGGTGGGGAGTGCTCGGATCCGCTGCGATTTTGCAGCTTCTGGCCACAGCCTTGGTGGCCTTGCTCACCTGGGGCTCCTGGCTGGGGTCTCTGAGTTGCTGTGGCCACCTCCGCACCTGGGGACTCTGAGCCCGCCTTCATTGCTGCAGCCCCTCATACCGCAGAGGGGCCCATCAGAACCTCAGGTGAAAGGATTTTTTTGATTCTGAGCCAATTCATTTCCATGTCCAACCACCCACACTATGTCCCTAGTAATAATGTTCAAGGACAAGGAAACAATCTTGTGTTTTAATTTTATTTTTTCTATCATGTGCCCCTCCCCCCACCACACTTGGCCTGGCTCTGCACAGTTATTCACACACCCACAGTGGGCAGTCTTCCGTGGTGGTTGACTGACCAGTGGGTTGACAGTACTGGGTTTCTCTGCTGTCTTCATACCCTTTCCCATCTTTGAAATCCCTGGGGCAGGGTTAGCGTTAGGGGAGAGGAGTTGGATTTTGCAGAGGTTGAGCACTGGAATTTGGTGCTGTCTTCCCAGACCAGCTGGAGTGGGTGGTTTTAAGTGAGGCAATGCCCCTTGCAGGTTGGAGAGGGTTGGGTTGTCCTCAGGGCTCTGCACACCGGGTGAGGGAAACTTCCCCCTTGCATGAGAGGTGCAGGGCCCTATTCCCCAGGGTCTCCATGTTTTTGTGGGTGGGAGAGTGCTTCAGGAGCCAGGATGGGAACTGAGGAGGTGGTGGAGTATCTGAAGAACAGGTGACAGGACTAGGGCCTGGGAGAGTGAAGGAATGGTCTGGGAATGCTGGTAGCCTGGGGTCACGGAAGAGGAGGAGGTGCTTATCAGGATATTAGCTCATTGGTGACACTGAATGGAATCACAGTAATCATAGGCAACATTTATTGAATCCTTATTATGTACTAGTCATTGTGCTAAGCAGTTTTCATGTACTATATCACGTAAGCCCCCTCAGGGTCTCAATAATCCCATTTTTCAGTTGGAGACACTGAGGCTTAGAGAAGTCACACGGCTAGAAAGTGGTAGACCCATCCAGCCTTGAATCTTGGTATATCAGACCCTGAAGCTCCTGTGGCAGGCTTCTACCACAGGGCTGTGCCACTTGGTTTAATTTCTTCTGTTCCCCTCAGAACTCCTTGAAGCCAACCCAAGGCTGGTGAGTGAAGCCCACATAGCCCCTTTTCATAGGCTGTGGCTGTTCCGCCCTGACTCTCTTGGAAGGTGGAGCCCCAGGGAATTTTCCCCCAAGTCACTCCACCCCCCGGATATTCTCAAGCCCTGTCCCGTTCTCCCAGCCCAGGCCTGGGCCGGCTCCTCCTTCCTCTTGGCTAGGCTCTGGAAATCCAGTGGGAGGCCATTGCTATGGCAACAGGACTAGGCCCTGGCTTTACCTCATCAAATTCCAAGCTGAAGCCAAGCGATTGAGAAATTAAAGAAAAAAATATATTCCAGATGTTTACTTTTTATTCCTTATTTTTCCGTGTTTGGATGAGACAGCTCTGAGGGAGGGGAGAGTGGGGCAGGGATGTGGAGGGAGAACAGGGAGAGGGGGGAGAAGGAACCACTCCCAGCTTTGGGAGGGAGGGAGAGAGGGAAGGAGGGTGAGCGGGAAGGGGGAGGCAGGCAATGAGGCGGAGCCCAGGTTGGGGAGGAGCGGGTTTTTCCCGTCTCCCGTGAGGTGATTCACAGAGTCTTCATACTTTGCAACTCTCTGGCTCTGCTTTGAGTAGACACCTCCAGCGGGGCCGTCCTACTCAGGGGGCACTCTGGGGACTGTAAGTGGGGTGTCTTGGAGAGTTTGTCAGAGGAGGGAGCAGTGAGTGACTCCCTGAAGCGCTAGGACTTTGGGGTTAGAAGATAAGAATGGGGAGGATCTGGGAAGAGTTGAGGATATGGCTGCTGGGAACCTCCCTTGACCTCCTCCACCCTCCCCACCCCCCCACCCCCTGCCCCAAGTTCTCTCTTCCTGTCCCACACTCTGCCTCTGCTAGAAATAGGAGACTTCTCTCTGCTAAACCTACTGGCAACGCCCAACTCTTTTTTTCCTTCTCTTCCCTCTCTTTTCCTAGGTCTGCAGCCACCCCGGCTCATACCTCTCTGCCTCCCAACTCTCAAGGAGGGTCTGCCGCATGTAATGAAAGTGTCTACTCTCAGGGAAAGCTCAGCCATGGCTTCCCCACTGCCCCGGGAGATGGAGGAGGAGCTGGTGCCTGCTGGCTCTGAGCCAGGTACCAATGGGTGCAGGGTGGAGCTGGGTGGCTGGGAGGGGGTGGGAAGGGCAGAGGCTGCCCCCTCTTTCTGTCTTGGGGGGTGGTTGAGTGATGATTCTGTTGAGATAGAGAAGGAGTACCAAGGCAGTGCAGGATGAGTGTGAAAGGTTCTCAGCTTCTCTTGAGACTCTTCAGAACTGTTTGGGATCATAACTTTCTAACAGGTGTAAGAGTAGACAGGGACCTTTGAGATGATACAGATCAAGCTGCATGCTTTGCAGAGGGGGAAACTGAGGCCCACAGGGACAAATGGAGTGTACAAGTGGGAGTTTGAACCCAGACCTCCTGGCTCCTTGCATAGACTCTTTTCTTATATTTAGCCAAATGTGTAGGAGGTAAAGGATTCCATCAGGAGGGTAGTGGATGAGGTTACTTCCAAGGTCATTTAGCTTTATATAGAAGGTAGGTTTCTGGTCCTGTTTTTTTTTTCTCCCTGTAGCAGATTTACTTTTGTTTGACTTAGGTCAATAGTAAGTTTGCATTCCCAGTCACACACCAGATGACAGTGGGGAGGTGGCCTGGGAGTGTGCTATGACTGGGGGAGGAGGCAGCCTGGAGGCAGGATAGAGAAGCTCGGCTGAGATTGAGAGTTTACTATGGTTGATAGAGAAGAGTGTCACATAAGGTGAACAAACTAGATTGGGAATATGGGGACTGACTGCTTGATAGGGGCAGGCAGGCGTTTGTCTGTTGTCTCTTTTGTTCATTCATTCTTTTGTTTGATTATAACTTATAATTAAACTTATGTTAGCTGCAAAATACAGTACAGGAAGAAATAAGGTGCCAGGTGGGTCCTTACATAGCTTCAGCTTAAAAGGGGAATTGGCTAAAACATTTTGGGAGTTTGAAGAAGGAAGAAGATGCTTCTGGGATGTGTGTAGAAAATCAAGGAAGGCTTCACGGAAGAGGTGGCATATGACTTGTGTCTAGAAAGATGTGAATATTCTTAAATTGGAGGGTGGGAGATGAGGTGGAACAGGAAACAAAGGAGTTCTGCTTCCTGGTTCTTCTGACAGCTCCCCTGCCAACCCTTTCCTTTTGGTAGGTGACACTCGGGCCAAACCCCCTGTCAAGCCCAAACCCCGGGCCCTGCCTGCCAAGCCAGCCCTGCCTGCCAAACCCAGCCTGCTGGTGCCTGTTGGGCCTCGGCCTCCCCGGGGTCCCCTGGCTGAGTTGCCTTCTGCCAGGAAGATGAACATGCTGGCAGGACCCCAACCCTATGGTGGCAGCAAGCGCCCGCTTCCCTTTGCACCAAGGCCTGTGGTTGAGGCCTCCACTGGAGGAGAAGCCATCCAAGAGACTGGGAAAGAGGAGGCTGGGAAAGAGGAGCCACCCCCGTTGACACCCCCAGCTCGATGTGCCGCCCCAGGGGGCGTACGGAAGGCCCCTGCCCCTTTCCGCCCAGCCTCAGAGCGCTTCGCGGCCACCACGGTGGAAGAGATCCTGGCCAAGATGGAGCAGCCTCGGAAGGAGGTCCCTGCCAGCCCTGACCGCCTGTGGGGTTCCCGCCTCACCTTTAACCACGATGGCAGCTCGCGGTATGGCCCCAGGACCTATGGCACGACCACTGCTCCCAGGGATGAGGATGGCAGCACCCTCTCCAAGGGACGGTCCCAGGAGGAGCCAGTAAAGCCTGCAGCCGAGTGCCAGGAAGAGCACAGCAGGACCCCTGAGGAGAGGTGAAGGGTGGGAGGTTGTATGTTTTGTGGCAGCCTGGAGGTCAGGTGGGGTGGGATTGGGTGGGGGCTGGGGACCAAGTGCATGGCCCCGTATA